TATATATACGTAAGAGCAAAATAAAACTCTAAATTTTGAAGAGTTTTTATTCTTAATTTCTAAGAACTCTTTCTTGTTCTCCAAATGTTTGATTTTTAAAAGTAGCATTTTATTCTCCTTGGATGATGCAGTATCTTATCCTTAAAGGATATTAATTGAAGGATTTTTTTGTTTGTTTTTTATTTTCCTCTGCTTCTTGCATTGTCTCTGTTTCCACTGAGTTTATTATTATTTTTTTTGTATGTTTATTTTGATCTTTGTGTTTTATGTTAGAGGCTTTCCTCAATTGTCTAGTCATTATTAACTGTCTATATTAAAGAATGAGGCACTATAAAGGTCATTGTGTATAATGGGACTTGTTGACTAGTTGGCCTCTCCATAGAGAATAAAGTGGGAGTCAGACATTTCTTGGGGATTTCCAAATGCCAGTATCTCTAGATCTTTCTTTTATCTTGGGTTAGTCAGTGTCCCTATAGAAAGATCATTTGCCTGGGGTTATAAGCCTGCCTGCCTGGGTGGGTCAGACCATGGATAAGTAAATGATGAAAAATCGAGACCCCCAAAAGAAGTGTTAGAGTGGAAATTCCCCAGGGTTGGTGACCCCAGGTTGTAGAAGTCCTCTTGTTTCTAGCAAGAATGGTAGTATAACTGCCTTGAGAGAAGAGTCAAAGAGTCCCTCCTTCAGAGACCAGTGCTGAACCACATATTTTTTACATTGCTGCTTGGGGCCCCTGAAGATGTCCAGGAAGGCCTCGTGAGTGCCTGTAGCTGTTCCAAGACCTCAGCTGGTATGTCTACTGATTACCTTTCCAGCTGATTTGGTTTTCTCCCAGGAACCTCTCTGGGTTGTGCGGGGAGACAAAAAAACCAAAAAACAAAAATCTAGGTATTCACTCTGGTTTAAAGCTTTGTCTGGTTAAATAAAACGGACCATACAAGAAATGCTTAGCTCTTTTAGAAAAAAAATTATCTCTCTCTACAATAGCTTCTGCATACCCTCCACTGCCTTTTTTCCTAAAGTGGCCTTCAGGTGTGTGGTGAGAGAGAGAGAGAGAGACTTACATGGTCTCACAGCTTTGAAAAATAGGCTCTTCAGGGCCACATGGTATCCTTGCACAATCAGGAATACTCCTCAAGCATTAAAGGACACTATCAACAGAGAAAAAAGGCAGCCCACAGGAAAAAATATTTGCAAATGGTATATCTGATAAGGGATTAATATCTAGAATATTTAAAGAACTTCTACAACTCAAAAACAACAAAAAAAATCTGATTCAAAAAATGTACAAAGGGGCCGGCCCGGTGGCGCACTGCTACAGTGNACTGAGGGTTGCGATCCGTTGCCGGACATGAAAAAAGACAAAAAGGAAAAAAAAAAATGTACAAAGGACTTGAATAGACATTTCTCCAAAACAGATATACAAATGGCCAATAAGCACAGAAGATGCTCAACATAACTAATCAGAGAAATGCAAGCCAAAACCACAATGAGATACCACTTTACACTCATTAGGATAGCTATTATCAACAAATAAAAAAAGCAGAAAAGAACAAACATTGGCAGGGATGAGGAAAAACTGTAACCCTTCTATACTGTTGGTGGAAATGTATAATGGTGCAGCCACTGTGGAAGGCAGTATGGCAGTTCCTCAAAAAGTTAAATGTAGAATTACCATATGATCTAGCAATTCCACATCTGGGTATATACCCAAAATAACTGAAAGCAGGGACTTGAACAGATATTTGTACACCAATGTTTATATCTGCATTATTCACAAAAGGCAAAACACAGAGACAACTGAAATGTCCATTAATGGATGAATGGATAAACAAACATCATATATACCTACAATGGAAAACCAGCCTTAAAAGGAATGAAATTTTGATACATGAAGCTGGAAGACATGAAGCCTAGTGAAACAAGCCAAACAGAAAAGTACAAATACTGTATGATTCCAGTTTATATGGAGGTACCTATAGTAGTCAAATTCATAGACATGGAAAGTAGAATAGTGATTGCTAGGGCTGGGGGAAGAGGAGAATGGAGAGTTATTGTTTAACAGGTACAGAATTTCAGTTGGGAATGATAAAAACATTCTGCAGATAAATTGTGATGATGATTGCACGTCAATGCACTTAATGACACTGAACTGTACACTTAAAATAGTTAAAATGGTAGTTTTTAGGTATATTTTACCACAATAAAAATTTAAATAATTAAAAAATAATAATCTTCAAGGATGAGGATTTATTGTCAGAATAGCAATGGCAAGTGGTGAAGTGTTGTGGGCTCTTCTTGTCTCCCTCACTTCCATTGACACCATCCTCTATAACTTTATGAATGGTTATTGTCTCCTATCTGTCCCTGCACACCACAACCAGATGTCCACATTGTCTTTTGGCATCTATAGTTTCTGAAAAGAAATCCTCTGTAATTCTTATCCCCCACAAGTAACGTATTTTTTTCTGCTTTTAGTATTTTTTCTTTATTATTGATTATAGCCAGTTATAAATTTATAATCAATGCTGCCAGTGGTAGGAAATAAAACAAGAGGAAGCCCACCAGCCCTTCCTTACATGCCATTGCTATCCTGGCAATAAATTTTCGTTCTCAAAGAGTATTTCTGATTGTGTAGGGATACCATGTGGACCTGAAGAGCCTGTTTTTTAAAGCTATGAGATCGTGTAAGCCCTTTCTCACCATCCACCTGAAGGCTATCTTAGAGAAAGAAGCAGTGAAGGGAATGGGGAGATTATCACAGAAACAGATTTTTTTCTAAAACAGATAAGCATTTCTTGTAGGATTCATTTAAATTGTTTACTCAAATAAAGCTTTAACCAGAGCAGACGTATAAAACAACTTCAAAATACACGAAGCAATGTGAATAGTGATCCTGGAGTGTGCAATGCAGTGGCCCTGCATGCCAGCCCCTTTCCCACTTTTCAATTCACATATTCATGCCTCTGTTCAATTCTGTTTCCTCAAACAGCTCTTAAACTAAGCATTCTACTCAAAATAGCCATTTCTCCAATCATTTCATAACCTGCTTGATTTTTCTTTGTAGCACCTAGTCACAACATGACATTTTATTATGTATTGGTTTCTTGTTTGTTATCAGTCTCCCTCACTAGAGAATAAGCAGCATGAGTTCATCTTCATTGTCTTATTCATATCATATACCCGGAGCCTTGATCAGAGCCTGGAACATCATAGCAGACGCTCAATAATATTTGTTGAATTAATTAATGTATTTATGTATTTACTTGATTATACTATTTAATATATTAAGTACATATTTACTATGTTTATTATGTTATTTAACCTGAGTTTAATTCCCCTCTTCATTTTTATCATTTATCCACTCCTTCTGCAATCACTCATTAAGCCTCTACTTTGTGTCATATATAGAGACAGCATGACAGTTGGGGGGAGACAAAGATGTATAAAGTAAGAGTTCCATAAAGAAATTCCCACTTCCTGAAGAATAAAATTCAAGGTCCTTAGCAAGCAAAGATTAGACATCCTACATCCAAGAGGGGAAATAAGGTTTTATTTTTTACAGCATCAGGAAGTTAAGTTTGTTTCTAGAAATGTGGAAGCGTCCCCCTGCTTCTTTCCAGCCTTCCAGGGAGCCTGAGCCAGCCGTACTCAAAGCTCCTCCCTTGGTAATTGACAGCTGGAGAAATTCCACAGAAGCCCGCCTTAGCCCTCCTCCTTGGAGACTGAGTGGCAAAACCTGGTGGGAGTGGCTGCCGACTTAGCCAATGCATGAAGCAGGAGCAAGAGCCTGTGTAAACAAACCCAGAGGTGCTGCGCCTTGAGCTCGTCTCTCACGTGGGGGCCGGCCTCATCCTTGGCCCAGTGCCCATCCAGGAGTGGTGAAGCGTCCATTTAGCCAATCAGAGTCGGAGTCTCCCGCAAGGAGGCCTCTCATCTCCAGGAGAAGAACGAAGGAAGCGAAAAGACAAACGTTAAAACCAATCAGAAGCTGGAACTTCCGAGGGGGTGGGCGGGCACTGTTTCACATTTAGACCAATAAAAATCATATATGCTCTTCTAGGTAACTGAGCGGCATCTTCTTCGGCCCAATAGATGAATGGGGCGGTGCCCGGCAACCAATGGCTTGCGCTCGGAGGCGGGGTGAGGAGCTAGTGTGCAGTAGGAGGTAACCTGGCGAGTGGTAGTGGCGCTTCTCCGGTGCGTGTCTCACGTTTTGGTACTAACGGCCGACACTGTCCTGGCGACGGCGACCTCTTCGGCGACGGCTTAGTGTCTCAGAGGAGTAGCAGAGTACGGTCTGGAGGAAGGGCTTCTGGTCAGCCCAGGTGGGCTTGGGCGCCGGGCTGCCGGGGAAGGGACCCGCGGGAAGCGCCGCTCTCCCGGCTCTGGGGGCTCCCTGCGCCTCCCTTTCCACCACCGTCGGGACTGTAAGAGGTGGCGCGCGCCTGCCGGAGCTCCTATATGGAGGGAAAGCCCGCGGTGTCCTTTTCGCAGCCGTCGGCGAGAAGGGGGGTCTTCTGGGGTCCTCCAGCCCCTCGGAGGCTCTAGGGGGTCTTGGTCCTATTTTCCCCGCTCAGGTACTCTACTGTCCTCTCCTACCCCCCCAGTTCCTGAGTTCGCTTATCCCCCTTCCAACACTCGGACCGGATTCTCGGGCTTGCGAATCCCTTTTCTACCCCGGTGCAACACTGCTGGGCAAATTGACCAGGGCTGCATCCCCCGCCGGGGGAGGGGTAATTGCGCGTTTGACCCTCTCCCATTCACGGCTCTCCGCGCGTTATTTGCGTTTCTTAAAACTCCCTTCACCTCCCCCTTTACGCTACCCCGGTGCAACGCTGCTGGGCAAATTGACCAGGGCTGCATCCCCCGCCGGGGGAGGGGGAATTGCGCGTTTGACCCTCTCCCATTCACGGCTCTCCGCGCGTTATTTGCGTTTCTTAAAACTCCCTTCACCTCCCCCTTTACTCCAGACTTCATGCTTCATACCTAATTTGACTTGGAGACCTCGGCTACTTTTCTTTCCTTACGCAAGTGAGTACTTCACCCCCTTCTCCCACTAAATTTCATCCTCATCCTTCTTGGAAACTAACATTTTCCACTTGGGTCTTCCATGCAGCTGGAAGGTGAATGCGAGAGAGGCAAAATACACTGAACAGGTAGCTTTGCAAGGTGGGGAACATTAATCTGTTTTGTAAATGGTAAAAAATTATTTTTGCCTTCCTTGAGATGGCATTTGGTCATATGCCCTCTCTACAATCTTTGTCCCAATACAGTTCTTTTGGTGATAATTGCTGAAAATGCAGGTGAAAAGGGTTTACTGGAAGCAAGGGATTTAAAATTTATTATTAAGTTGATGGAATTGGATTATACTTTAAATAGCTTAACTGGGTGGCTTGAGTTTGCAAGTGTTAAGGGCGGTCTGGCTACCCTAATATGTCATAAAATATAGGACATACTTTAGCTGTGTAGCACAGCGTGATTTGGTCACGCCCAACCTATGAATGGATAATAGCCTTGAATCTGTTTAAAAACAACAATCCCTATTCTCTTTTCACAGAGAATTTGTATTCACCTTCATAGTTTATGTGTTTGATTTCCAGTAGTGTTCTAAACATATGTTTCTAGAAAATAGTGCAAACTATGTTGTGCCTAAATAAAATCATACTAAGAATTTTGTGAGGAAAAACTAACTCACCACTCTTAGCTTTGATTGAGATTTTAGAAGTTTGAAAATATTAATTTAGATGTTGGACAGTGAGGATTTTGTTTTCGAGGCTGAAGTATTGGGGTAAGACTGATGGGCCCCTTAGGCTGTGTGTGAGAGAGAATATACATGTGTACAAAACCTCATAAATTCTCACAGTGCTTAGTTTCATGACTTCACATAAACCAGAATTGTTTTTCCTAGTTCTCAGTGGAGAAATGTAAGCTGTGAATTTAACATCATATTCATTGTTTTGGTCAAGATTTTGCAAGCTTTTGTGAAAAAAATCTTATTTTTTTCCCTATCCAATTTGTAACACATATCAATATGCTTCCCTGTATTCTACTACGGTAAGATTGTGTCTTGTATATAGAGAAATAAATCTATTAGAGTGAAGTAAAAGGAATCTTTACTCTGAGGTGGCAGAATGTGGACCATATGTTTGAGCCTTGTTAATAAATCACACCAAAAAGAGCTAGATCTTAAACTGACAAATGCCCAAGTGTCTAGAACAATAAAAAGAATTTATGACAGAGTTACAGCAGTCATCAAAGAAAAGTCCTGGACAAATTGCAGATCTACAAGTTGGTCACTATTGTGAATTGGTATAGACTGCAGTTGAAAACCAAAGTTATTTTTTATAGTCTTTTCAGGTATATTTGTGCTTAGTAATTACTTGTTTGCAAATTTGGGGAACTGTACCTGTGATTTTTTCCTAGAGAACTTGACCTTGAGGAGTTCACAGTTTAGTGGAAGAGAGACCTGTAAACCAAGAATTATCAGCACCACGCTCACCCAGTGAGCAAACCGGCCATCCCTATATAGGATCCGAACTCGTGGCCTTGGTGTTGTCAGCACCGCACTCTCCCGAGTGAGCCACGGGGCCGGCCCAAAACCAAGAATTAAATGCAGAGACGGAGGTTCTATAGTACAGGGCAGAGAAGCACTGTGGCCCCGTGTTTTGGCCTCATCTCCCACTGCTCTAGACTTCCTAAAGTGCCATTTCCTGAACTTATCTCTTTTTTTCCTACACGACTGGGCCTCTTTCCGTAGGTGCTGTTCTCCTTGAAAGCCTTTTGTATACCTCCTGTGTCTGGTAAAATTCTATTTCTTCAAAATTTTGAAGGCTGCCTCCACCTCATCCAAATAATTATTTTGTCTTTCTCTCTGTTATTTCATCATAAGTCATTACAGTCGATTCTCATTTTTCACAGTAGTTATGGTCTATAAATTCACCTAGAACACTGTATTATCAAATACCAAACTATTGCTCCAATGGAAAATATGTACATATCTACATATCTCACATAGATTATAACCTTAAATCCCCAAAACAACTCATTTTAGTAGATTATATTTTCCTTATTTTACAAAAGAGAAAAAATGAGGTTCAGAAGTGTTAAGTGACTTCTCTGAGGCTGCCGCACTAACAGGTGCCAGAGTTAGAATTCAAACCCTGTCCTGTTGGCCCAAGAGCCAAAGCTTCTTGCACTACCCC